AGTTTGTAATAATGCTCTTCAATATTATGTTTTGATTTTTCATAAAATTCATCTAGTTAGTTAATTCTGAAATAATTTAAGAGAAAAGAAATTACAGTCTCAAAGAATATGGTCTAATTTTAAGTTTGTCAAGCTATTGTTACTCCCTGAGAAGAAGGTTCAGACTGATGAGATTCCTGGGTTTGTAGGCATGGCTGTAGGATTTTACTTTAGTACAGTGCTACCTCCAATCAATTCCTTAATAAAGCATAAATGGAGTGTGTAGAAGCACTCTTTGTAAACCACATATCTTTTATATCAATATAGCATTAGGCAAAGAATTTAAGAGTTGTGGAGATTATGAGATGCTGCTAAAAATAGCAATAAAACTCTTTGCAAATCTATGAAAAAATATGAGTTCTTCTAGATGTTCAGTCTCCCAGGTAGAGTAAATACTTAACAGGACCCTCTTTCTGGTCACATATTAAAGTGGCTCAATTGGGCGAGGGGGACAACTTTAAGATTTAAAAAAATAATTTCATTCTACTTGTATTTGTCCAGATCCAACAGTTGCCTGTTTGTCTCTTAGGGACAAGTTAGGGAATTATAAGCACATTTCCAGCCCTAACAAAGCTGCTTATGTTGCTACTGGAAACCCTGGAGGATCAAATAGTTGGTACCCCTCCAGCTCTGAGCCATCTGCCTTACACCTTCATATGAACTTAAAGCCATAACCCTCTTATGGATGGAAAACACAGGGTAGAAAACCTCTGCCTTAAGGACCTGCTATAATCCCCTTAATATCTAAGTTTTATTAATAAATGCAGTAGATCAATCAACATGTTATCTGGTGACTTACTTTCTTAGAATCCCACAGATGGTATGGAGCAATACCTTGAAGCAAATCCTCTGCTATCTTTTCAAGCCAATTCTACCTATATGTTCAGATAAATAAAACAATGCTGTAGGTACAAAACTAGCATTATTCTAACGGGCAATTTAAAAAACTATACTTCAAAATTTAGTACATGGCAGGTTTAGTTATTAATTGAGTTTCTAGTTCAGAGATTAAAGAAGGGGCTCCTTTATCAGAGTTTGAATTTTATTGTTACAATTGTTAAAAATGAGCACCTTTATATATTCAGTAAAATTTAAATATAGCCAATAGTGGCAGATACTTCATCAGGTGAATGAGCTCCCAGATCCTCATCTTTCCTTTTGTCTCTTATTGTTCTGGCATGCATCATTGTCATTTTACCTTCCCTAAAACCAATTTTGACATTGCACATTTATTGTTCAATGAGAAATCCTTACTAGTACATAACTATTAAAACTTGCAAATTGTCTTACATTTATTAATAATTCATAATGTGTTTGCTTCACATATCTACAATACCTATTATGCAAGAACAAGAATTGGATCAGTACTAGGGCAGAGAATAAACTATGCATCAATCCAATAAGTAAGTATTATAGGTTTTCTTATTTCACATCCAATTAAAGTTTTGTGTTTCAAAACTGCATTAATAATATAAATTGATAGTCAATAGTAGACTTCAGTCCAATTACTCAACAACTAATACAAACCAAGTGAGAGAAAAGTACATTATGTACATAGAGGCATAAAAATGAAATTCTTAACATTATATTTAAAAAACTATTACACTACTAAAGAAAATATGTCCACTAATGAATCATTTTCTGTTGAATTTCAAATAATGGAAATTTTATCTCTAGATTTTCAGTTCCTTAACCATGCCCCTAAGTAGTTTGTTCTCACTTAGTCTTGTCTTGCAAAGCATGTGACAATTAGAACATCAAAATGAGCTAACCTGAAGAGTCTTCTCAGAGATTCCTCTACATCTTTATTCTTCAGACTGTAGACCATGGGGTTCAACATAGGTAATAAAAACAGTATAAAAGGTAGACACCATTTTGTCCCTCTTCAATGGGTGGCTGGAACTTGTGTAAGAGTACATGTAGAGGATAAAGCTATAGTACAAAGTCACAGATATGGGATGTGAGAAGCATGTTGAGAAGCCTTTGATGTGGGCCTGAGTGAATTGGATCCCCTAATGGCAACAATAAAAAAGAGATAGGATACCAAGATCAGCAGGGTGGGAGGAATGGCATTAAAGGCCAGTTGAAGCACATCATAGACTGGTAACTCTCCCTGACATCACATGCCTTCTTCACTAGAGGCGGCTCATCACAGAGAAAGTAATCAATAACATTGTCTAAAAAAATCCACTATAATGTGTTACTGGTTAATATTACTGTGCTGATAAGTTCTCATGTATAGGAGTACACAACCAACAAATGTGCAACCTTCTTGACAAGGCCCATGCATAAAATAGGGGCCTATACATGGCCACATAGTGATCATAAACTATGTCACCTAGAAGGTAGTACTCACTATAGGCCAATCCGGCAGAGAAGAAGAACTGAGACAAATGCCCAGCAAAAGAGATTCTTTTGCCTTCAGAGATGCAAGTATCTAAGATCTTTGTGGAATGTAGACCCATAAAATACAGATGGAATAGGATCCAAGAGACTCACCCCATTAGGTGGTTCACAGTATATGTGACTTAGATTTGGCCTTAGAATTGTGGAGAATAAATGGGGCCTGGAGTCTCCGGAGCTTATCAGACTAAAAAGGTACAAATTTGATTCTGATCATAAGACCTAAAGACATTGAATTAGAACACTTCTAATCTGATTCAAATTGTAAAATCACTTTGGAGAGCATGAGGAAAGTACTTGTTAGGAAACAAAAAACCGGTGGTAGCATTAGTTAAATGAAGAGGTGATGGTTCCTCTCTTTCAAGTTGGGAAGAGGTCACAAGTGCTCTTACTCTCCATAGTTGAAAGCATACTTTCTTCTTGGTATGAATCATGTAATCACACACAAAATATCACTCTCATTCTCTTTCCAGAGTCTCTCAATTGACTTCCCACATTCAAATGCATGAGTGATTCTAACATTCTATTTCCCTTGTTTACCAAGGCCTGGTTTTTCTCAGCAAACTAAATCCTTTGCACATTGAGGAATGATAAAAATGATAAAAACCTTAAATTCACTGACTGGGAAGTTATTATAAAACTGAAGACATCAGAACATACTTTTTATCTATGTATTAATATCCATCTTCTAACATCTGACTGTCCTTTCAGCATTCTCAGTCTCTAGTAACTTTTGCTGCACATTTAAATCAATTCTGTTTTTAGTATTGCCTGTATTTTAGAATTCTGTCTATTATGTCTTATATGTCAGATGTAAGAGTTTTATATTAAATGCTTCAATTTGATTCAGTCTCTAATCTTATTTTCCAAAAGTAGTGATTCTGCTATATTCTACAGATCTTTTGTACATCAAGGTGACTCTAATTAATAATATTTTCTATACATTAAAAGAGTACATCTCATGTGGTATAATCACAAAGGATAAATAAGTTATTAGATTGATCATTTTCACAATTTATACATATACCAAAGTGTTATATTGTATATAAATGTAAGCACACTCGGGATTGAATCTGAGAATATGTGTTCTAGTGATAAGCTATTCCCAACTCCATCTATGCAACTTTTATTTATAATCTAGACCCTAGTAAATCTAGTAATAAAAATTTGTTAACATTTTCCTCATAGACTTTATCTCTTTGGGATTCTGATTCCTTGAGGGAGTTGAAACCAACTTATTCCCAGTCTTTAGAAAACACTTTTCTGCATCCTGTGCTGAATTAACACAGTGAACATCTAATTAACTTCACATTCAAGATGCTATGACATAGTATTTATACTTCTGGATAACCAGGAAAGCTGAAGATGCCAGGTGTATATTTTCAGGGTAAGTCATTCTCATATAAGCAATTATAAATCTAATACTTCACTGTTACATAAGGAGGTGGTTTGTGGCATATTTCATCTGAAATGTCAATTAATTTATACATAAATACCACCAGAGGCCAGGTAACTAAAATGAATTCAGTGACCTTGAAAAGTACCATTTGTTTGTTAACCATGAGAAAATAAATTGGACATTGGTTGATTATTTCATCCATGACATGATAGTGTGATTTCTGTTGATATAGGGGTATGGGAGCTGGCATAGGGTAGTGAAATATGAAGAAAGGTTTATTGGATAAAGTAATGTTAGAGTTGAGAAGTCTTGTTTTTTATCTAATTTGTTCACCTGTTCAAGGCTCCCTTAATTATAATTAGAGGAAAAAAACAAACATCTGAATCAGCTCATTTAAATTCTCAGTCAGCTAGTGTCCAGGGTGAGACTGTAAAACACAGTCTAATAAACTTTTATGCAACCAGAATATTATCTCACATAGCATTTCAAGTTGAGCAGAGTTTAAAAATATAATCATTATCAAACAAATTGTATGCATTTTAACATCTTTGTTAACAGTGGTAATTATCTGGTTCTGGTACATAGTTTTGTGCATTCTCGTGTGCCTCAGCATTGTTTTCTGTAACTTTAATAGTGACATTAAATACTTTATTTCTAACCTCTTGGTTTAATAATAAAAAACATAAATGGTCAGTAGTAAGTTTCTGAACCTAGAAAGTATAAAAATTTTGAAACATTTTTAATTCTGTGAGTTTTTCTGACCAAAAACTTAGTCATACTCATCCAGATATTTTCTCCCCTCCCACTGCTTTTGAAACTGGAAAATACTGGAGGCTTTTCTCATTAATAGCTTTCAAAAATCAAACCCCTTCCCATTTTTCCTGCCAGAAAGAAGGTCAGTTGATACATGTCAATAGTTTCTGTAAGTATACCCTGGGTCATAGCATACCCTAAGTTGGTTTTGTACAAGTTTTCAAATAGCTAAGATCATTTAAACTGCATGCCCCTCTTCCCTAGTTGATGTGGGATACCTTTCTTTAGAGTGTGATTATGTATTGTTCTCAGTGTTTGATAAATAAAGCTACTTTGGCCTATGGCAAGGCAGGATAGAATCAGACAGGAAATCCAGTCAGATATACAGAAGTACAGAGCCTGAGAGATGCCAGCAGCCACCCAAGGAACAACATACCAGTAAGCCATGGGCCACATGATGATACACTGACTAATAGAAATGGGTTAATTTAAATGTAAGAGCTACCTAGTAATAAGCCTGAGCCATTGGCCAAACATTTGTAACTAATATTAAGTCACTGAATGATTATTTAGAAATGAGAGTGGAAACAGGCAGAACAGAAAAACCTCGAGTTACATCTTGTTTTACTGTACTGTACACTGATCCTTCTTCTCCTACTCCTCCATGCTATTTTATTTTGCTAAATGAGTGCTTATATTAGAAAAATCATAGATGGTCATAAAACAAAGGTTATGTACTTATGTTCTTGGTAATCTTTTTCTAATTTTTATCAGTGGTAAAATACCACATCACTGTGGTCCATGTCATGATCAGTAATGATGTGGAAACAGGATTCTATCAGGAGGGTGAATTTAAAAACACACACAGTCAGAAATGCCTCATACCCACACAAACAAATGCAAAACATTTATTCTATAGTCACAATACACTCAGATGCTCCCCCATCCCTCTAATTTTGCCTCTAGAAGAATGCTATCACATTGAACTCATAAACTATATGATATTTCAGGCCTTGATTTTTACAACTCAGTGAAATGCTTTTGATATCCATTCATATTATTACCCATATCATACTTGAATATTTCACTAACTTCAGAGAATTTTGGCCATTTCAAATTTTTTGGCTATAAATGATGCTTCTGTAAATAGTTATGTATAGTTTATTATGTGGCTATAAATTATTCCTCTGGAATAAATATGAAGTGTCTGTTTTTTTATTCTTAAATCACTTATTTTTCTCTCCAAACATCCTGTCAACAATCAGTGCTTAAGACGGAACCATTCTTTGGGAGCCACATAACATATGATGAATTATGGCTGTGATATGAAGGATTTAAGTGTGCCAGAGAATGTGTGACAAAGAATGTACTGTGTATTTGTTTTTGACTTTTTTTCTTAGTGCACCATTCTATAACTTAGACATTATAAATTATATATTAGACAGCATGGACACTTAAATCTATAGGATATAAGCATGTAGGGATGGAGATTATTCACATAACACTTGCTTTTCTTTGAGTTCATTAAGATAATCTAAATTCACTGATTCATCCAATTACTTTTTCTCATATGTTTCCTAAAATATTCTTGTTTCATAAAAAAGTGTTTTGAGACAGACAAGCTAAGCTTGAAGTTAGGAAACATCTGTGACATAAACTCCAAAATTCACATTGCAGGTCTAAAACTCTCATTAAAAAAATAAAAATAAATAAAACACAAGGAAATCAAAGAAAACAGTGAGGTTTGTTACTGACTCAGAGGTGTCCAAGCTCTGGAGAGGACACCCCTAATGACTAGCAGGAAGACAAAGAGTAAATCTCAAGGTAAGAAAAATTAAACTTTAATTGTAAATTTACTGCAGAGAAAAAGAAACCTGTCTTTGCTTTAACAGATTTATCAGGAGGAATGAAACAGAAATCAAACTGTAGTGACTGAGTTCTCCTTCATGGGATTAACCAACTCCTTCAAGCTCCAAATTGTCCTCTTCCTGATATTTCTCTCCTAACTCTTCTGGAGAACCTGGGAATGATTATTGTCATCCATCTGGATCCTCAACTCCACATCCCCATATACTTTTTGCTTAGCCATTTGTCCTTTGTGGATGCCTGCTCCTCTTTGGTCATTAGTCCTAAGATGTTGTCTGACATCTTTGTGGAGAAAAAAGTGATTTCCTTCTTAGGTTATGCTGTCCAGCTTTGTTTATTCAGCCAGTTTGTGGTTACAGAATGTTTCCTCCTGGCCTCTATGGCGTATGACAGGTATGTTGTCATCTGTAAGCCTTTGTTGTACACACTCATTATGTCACAGCGTGTTTGTGTGAAGCTAATGATAGCACCTTATGGCAATGGCCTTATAAGCACCATGGTCCATATCACTTTTGCCTTTATCCTGCCCTACTGTGGTCCAAATCTCATCAATCACTTTTTCTGTGACCTTCTTCCTGTTTTCTCACTGGTATGTGCAGATACTCAGGTGAATATACTTTTGCTTTTCATCTTGGCTGGGATCCTGGGTGTATTCTTGGTATCCTACATTTACATTGTCATCACTATCCTGAAAATCCATTCTGCCAATGGGAGGCCTTCTCCACCTGCTCCTCACACCTGACGGCTGTCTCCATCCTTTATAGGACTCTCTTCTTTATCTATGTACATCCAAGCACCAGCTTCTCTCTGGATAACAATAAAGTTGTGTCACTATTTTACACCACTGTGATCCCTATTTTGAACCCATTCATCTACAACCTGAGAAATGAAGAAGTCAAAGATGCATTCATCAGGACATTTGAAAAGCAATTTTGCTACAAATTGCAAGATAAAATATTATAGATATAATAAGCACTCTTAGATACCAATTATCCTATTTCATTTTTTTCTTTCTATCACAAGTTTAGACCTTTAAACTGAGATGTAGGGATTATAAAATGTACAACTTTAGCAAAATTATGAGGCCTTGTGACTAAACATGATAGACTCTGTTAAGTTCTGAGACAATAAAACTTAGTAAGCAATGAACTTCATAATAGCTCAGTTCTGCTTTACAAGAGTCCAAGTCCCTATATTATCTTCTATAGTAGAATAATTCATAATGTGTGGTGGTTTGAATAATAAATAACCCCATTGTTTAAATTCTTGGCCCACATTGAGTAGCACTATTAGGAGGAGTAGACTTGTTGGAGTAGATTTGGCCTTGTTTGAGGAAGTATGTCACTGTGGAGGTGGGCTTTGAGTGTTTTGTGATCAATAAAAGTCTAGTGTGGCAGTCTCCTTCTGTTGCCTGCAGATCAAGATGTAGAACTGTGAACTCCTTCTCCAACATCGTTTGCCTGCATGCTGCCATGCTTTTCACCATGATGATGATAACTAAACCTCTGAAATTATAACCCAGCCCCAATGAAATGTTTTCCATAATAGGAGTTGCCATAGTCATGATGAAAATAATATGTTGTCCTTTGACACATTGGTAAATTGATTCTAATTTGCTTATAATAATAAATTTTACTTCTATTAAGCAATAATAATCCCCAAAATATTTTAAAATAACTTTGTATTTTAGAGTACAATATAAATACACAATTTCTCCCTTCTTTTTCTTCCCTCCAAACCACCCATGTACCCCCTACTTTCTCTCTTACAGATTCATGACCTCTTATGTCTTCTTTCTTTTTTAATTTTTTTTTAAATTAACTTTTTTTATTTATTTTATATAACCAAGTCCATTTAAATGAAAACAAACATTTATAGACAATATTTGGGAATTTGGGCGTTGTTCTTTCCAAACTACTTCCTGCTGGTAAGGGGCACTGTCATGGGGGATTCTAAGAAGATTCAGAAATCCTGGCTGTAGACTGTAAGGCTGCTTTGTCCAGCTGTTTTGAATGTAGGATCAACTGGTACTCTGTTTCAGGTGGTCTGGCTTGATTAAACCACATTAGTCTGGAAGGAATCCACATCTTTTCATTTTCTGTGGAAACAAAATTAGAAATCCTTTTCCCCAGTAACTTGCCCTTGAACTTAAATTTTGGAGTCAAAGCATTTTTTTTTAATTTAATTTATTATTTTACATGTCAATCCCAGTTCCTTCTCCCTCCCTCCCTCGTTCCCTCCTTCCCTCCATTTTACCCTCTCTGCCCTCTCACATATACTCTAACCACCCTCCCCTTCCATCCCCCCACCCCAATTCCATATGTAGGGGAATGCCATCCAGTTGGGGTCATGTAGATCTGACAGGTACTAGAAGTTCTAGCTAATGCTATAAGACAACAAAAGGAGATCAAAGGGATCCAAATTGGAAAGGAAGAAGTCAAAATGTCTCTATTTGCAGATGATATGGTAGTTTACATAAGCGACCCAATAAACTCCACCAGGGAACTCCTACAGCTGATAAACACCTTCAGCAAACTAGCAACATACAAGATAAACTCAAAAAAATCATTAGCCCTACTTTTTTTCAGACGACAAAGAGACAGAGAAAGAAATCAGAGAAACATCACCCTTTACAATAGCCACAATCAACATAAAGTATCTTGGTGTAATGCTTACCAAACAAGTAAAAGACCTATATAATAAGAACTGTGTGGCTCTAAAGAAAGAAATTAAAGAAGATACCAGAAAATGGATAGATCTCCCATGTTCTTGGATAGGTAGGATAAATATAGTAAAAATGGCAATCTTGCCAAAAGCAATCTACATATTCAATGCAATCCCCATTAAAATCCCACCACAATTCTTCACTTGATCTTGAAAGGATAATAATCAACTTTATATGGAAAAACAAAGGACCCAGGATAGCCAAAACAACCCTATACAATAAAAGAACTTCAGGAGGCATCACCATTCCTGACTTTAAGCTCTTATATCTTCTTTTATTTAAATTAGAAATAAGATGTTTTTTACATGTCAATTCCAATTCCCTCTCCCTATCCCTCCCGTCCTCTCCTGTGGCCCACCAACCCATTATCCCATCCTATATTTGCTCCCTGGGGACAGTGAGGCCTACATTGGGGAATCTTCAAAGTCTGTCATATCATTTGGAGAAGGGCCTAGGCCTTCCCCTGTGTGAATAGGATGAGAGAATATCCGAGTAGAATGGGCTCCCAAAGTCCATTTCTATACTAGGGATAAATACTGGCCCACTACCAACGGCCCCATAGATTTCCCAGATCTCCTAACTGACACCCAAGCTCAGGGGGTCTGGGTCAGTGCTATCCTGGTTTCCCAGCTACCAGTGTGGGGTCCAAGAGCTAACTCCCCATTGGTCAACTCACTTGTTTCTGTGGGTTTCTTCAGCCTGGTCTTAACCCTTTTGCTCATCACTCCTCCCTCCATGCAACTAAACTCAGGATTTTCAATTCGAGACCCTGTATTTGATATAATGCTGTTGGCCTGTTATTTGTTTCTTATCGGCTAGCCCTGTCTTCAGTATTAACCCATTTTTATCAATCTAAGTATTTCCACATGGTCTCATCTTACCTGAGAGTAGGGCTGGCCTTTGTTCTCTCCAGTCTCTCCATGTTGACTCCTCCCTAGTATTTCCTCGAATCTTCCTTGTCTCTTAGTCCCGCCTAGCTTACTTTCCTATTGGCCAACAGTGCTTTATTCATTAACCAGTATGAGAAACATATTTACAGACTGACATCTCCCATCAGATGTTGAGCACTATCTTAAGTGTCTTTCAGCCTTTTTGATTTGCTCTATTGAGAATCCTTTCTTCAGTTCTATACCCATTTTCTAATAAGGTTATTTGGTGTTTTGTTGACTAGTTTCTTGAGTTCTTTGTATATTTTGGAGATCAGCTCTTTGTCAGATGTAAGTTTGGTTAAAATCTTTTCCAAGTCTGTGGGGTGCCGATTGGTCTTGTCCACTGTGTCCTTTGCCTTAGAGAAACTTCTAAGTTTGAGGAGGTCCCATTTATTAATTGTAGAGCTCAGTGTCTGTGCCCCTGGAGTTATGTTCAGGAAGCAGTCGCCTATACCAATTTGTTCAAGGGTACCTCCTACTTTCTCTTCTGAGAGGTTCAGTGTGGCTGGATTGATGTTGAGGTCTTTGATCCATTTGGACTTGAGTTTAATGCATGGAGATAGACATGGGTCTATCTGCAATCTTCTACACAATCATCCAGTTGTCCAGCACCATTTGTTGAAGATGTTTGTCTCCCCCCATTGTATTCTTTTAGCTGTCTTGTCGAAAATCAGATGTTCATAGGTGTGTGGATCAATCAGGATTATCAATTCGATCCCATTTGTCTACCTGTCGATTTCTGTGCCAATACCAGGCTGTTTTCAGAACTTTAGTTCTGTAGTAGAGCTTAAAGTCAGGGATGGTGATGCCTCCTGAAGTTCTTTTATTGTATAGGGTGGTTTTGGCTATCCTGTGTCCTTTGTTTTTTCATATAAAGTTGATTATTATCCTTTCAAGACCAGTGAAGAATTGTGGTGGGATTTTAATGGGGATTGAATTGAATATGTAGATTGCTTTTGGCAAGATTGCCATTTTTACTATCTTTATCCTACCTATCCAAGAGCATGGGAGATCTTTCCATCTTCTTTAATGTCTTTCTTTAGAGCCACAAAGTTCTTATTATATAGGTCTTTTACTTGTTTGGTAAGCATTACACCAAGATACTTTATGTTGCTTGTGGCTATTGTAAAGGGTGATGTTTCTCTGATTTCTTTCTCTGTCTCTTTGTTGTCTGAAAAAAGGAGGGCTACTGATTTTTTTGAGTTTATCTTATATCCTGCTAGTTTGCTGAAGGTGTTTATCAGCTGTAGGAGTTCTCTGGTAGAGATTATTGGGTTGCTTATGTAAACTATCATATCATCTGCAAATAGAGACATTTTGACTTCTTCCTTTCCAATTTGGATCCCCTTGATCTCCTTTTCTTGTCTTACAGCTTTAGCTAGAACTTCTAGTACAATATTGAAGAGATATGGAGAGAGAGGGTAGCCTTGTCTTGTTCCTGATTTTAGAGGAATCGCATTAAGCTTCTCTCAATTCAGTTTGATGATGGCTGTTGGTTTGCTGTATATTGTTCTTATTATGTTTAGGTATGTTCCGGTTATCCCTGATCTCTCCAAGAACTTTCTCATGAAAGGGCATTGAATTTTGTCGAAGGCTTTTTCAGCATCTAGGGAGATGATCATATGGTTTTTCTTTTTCAGTTTGTTTATATGATGGATCACGTTGATAGATTTTCATATGTTAAACCATCCCTGTTACCCAGGGATGATCCCTACTTGGTCATGGTGTATGATTTCTCTGATGTATTCTTGGATTTGGTTTGCCAGTATTTTATTGAGTATTTTTGCATCAATGTTCATCAGGGATATTGGTCTGTAGTTTTCTTTCTTAGATATGTCTTTGTATGGCTTATACACCAAAAATACATCCTGGATCCATTGTCTGAGGTCCCTAGACTGCTCAGGCATTCTAGCTTAGACCCATATTCAGGGGGGCCTGAGTCAGTCCCATGTTGTATTCCCAGCTATCAATCTGGGGGCCCATTAGCTCCTCCTTGTTCCGGTCAGCTGTCTCTATGTGTTTCCGCAACCTGGTCTTGTCCTTTACCTCTGCATCTGGATTCTAATTTGACTGTTTTTAGTTATGGGTTTTTGCTTCTGTTTCCAACAGGTACTAGATGAGGGCACTAATTTTTAACTTTTATTTATTCCTTGTGGATTTTCCTTCATACATTCCAATCCCACTTACCTTCAAATTCTCTTGCATCTGTCCTTTGCCCTTACAAAGCCACAAGTCGTTAGTCTAGTTCCATGCCTCTAGCTTCTCCTATACCACTTATATTGGTGTAGATTCCTCTTGGATATTCTGCT